ACTGTGGCGTCGCGCATGCGTCTGTTTCCTGACACAATCATCCATTTTGAATGCGTGTGTATTGGGATAGACGCGTGCTGACGCTTATGTTTGGGCACACCTTAAGTTCAGAGGAGCCAATCAGCGCATCGTATATGCTGACGCTTATGTATGGGCACATCTTAAGTTCAGAGGAGCCAATCAGCGCGTCGTTATCGCCGACATGCCCTGCTCAGCCAGGGTCTCCAGTTAGTCAAACATTATACAACACACAGTCGCGTTGCTGCGGTCCTCTGCAATACATCTGTTAGTGCACGCAAAGAATACAACGGATAATTTTAACAAGCGATCGCGGTAATGCGCAGATTATAGTCCACAAATATAAAATGTATAACGTAAAAATCACTTTATAATTTATTATTTTATACAATTTGCCGAGAGTCCGGACAGAGGAGGTCCGGACAGAGGAGGTCGGCGATCCGGTCGTGGATCGCGGTCCGCCAGTTGAGGAAGGCTGATTTAGAGTGTTCAACCAGCCTGCCATGCATGTTTTTGGAATGTGGGAGGAAACCGGAGTACCTGAAGAAAACCCACACAGGCCTGGGGAGAACATGCAAGCTCTACACAGGGAGGCCGGAGCTGGAATTGAACCCGGTGCCTCTGCACTGTGAGGTCGATGTGCTAACTGCTGGGCCACCAGGCCGCCCTATATTTAGACTAATATTGTGTAATAGTTCAAGAAGGGAGCAAGAAAGAGCATGACCGAGCTTAAGTGTCAGGTAACAAGAACGTGTTGCCGTGTTTTGTGTTGAATAGAAGTATGACTAAATGCCTTTTTTCAAGCCCTCATTTTTTCCGCAATTAACATTGTGGTTCTTAAACTTTTTGCAATAATACCTAAAAAAAACAAAACAACATCTTAGCTCTCCAAACTCCACCCTCAGGTGCAGGCAGTTGCATAGTAGGCAGAGGTCAAACACTGGCACAAACATTTTGGATTGTAATGTTCAGCTTTTGACCTGTGAATATGAACACCCCGCTTGAAGGATGATTTCATTATATTGTATTTTGCAAAAAAAATAAAATAAAAGCCATGAACATAGTGCCTAAAAAAGCTGAGCAACAACGTTTGTCAAGATGGAAGGCAAAAATGTAGGATTGAGTCAGAAACCACTCGAGGGAGTCCTCATCCGCTTGGTGCTCGTACCACACTTTTGAGAATCACTGCTTTTACACATCAATACTAATACTGTAATCATTTTCGGGGTTGAGCAAGAAAGAAAGTGAGGGAGGCATAGCGCTACTTATGAAGGAAAAGTCTGATTAACAGAGTTGCTTATTCTTTCATGTATCAATTGAAATGAATGCTTTATCGACCCAGTTTTAACACTCGCAATTTACTGGACGGAGCAAGCGAGAGGGAGAAATCAAGGAAGGTTTGCCATGTTTCGTGTCCAATAGAAAAAAACGTTTTGTGTTTCATCAGCCAGTTACAATCCCCTTAAGTTCAATACTTTTGTTCCGGTAGTCAGCACATGAACCTAAACAACATTTTGTATCTTGTTCCGTGATATGGACAGTATATCACTTGTGGTCCGGCAGGCTATTACACGTGCGTGGAGGTCATCTTCACCCTGCGGCGACAGGTGGGATTCTACATGATGGGCGTCTACGCGCCCACGCTGCTCATTGTGGTGCTCTCTTGGCTGTCCTTCTGGATCAACCCCGATGCCAGCGCCGCCAGAGTGCCCTTGGGTAAGGCGGCTGTTTTCCCAGGTCGTGCGCGGTCCCACCTCCACTGACAAAATATGTATAAATATCCCAGCGGGAACAGTCAGGGGGTGTCAAAAATGCAACATTTGTGGTCGTCAATGTAATCAGGTGTGAAAGCCCACGGTATACAAAATAGAACGTGGGGTGGGGTTGAGGTTGTAAGCTTTGTCGGATCACTGATTTTTTTTTTTTCTTTACGGCCGCTATCATGCCATCAATCATCTCGACAGCGTGAAGGACTTTACCTTACAGGCATGCATGCGTGCGCCTCTGGATGCCATCGATCAGTCCTTAACAGATGTGCTTGACAGATGGGATTGAAGTCCTTCACGAAGCAAAGCAGGCCAAGGACAACGTGCATATATTCATGGGCAGGTGAATTCTAACAGCATCTCAAGCGCAGCATTGCCTAGTTACGATAAGGCGTCTTCCGAAAGCAGTCAGAGGCAAAACTAAATAAAAGGGATGACTACGGAGAAACGACTACAGAGAAACGCAGCAGATTGGAGCGTAAAATATACCGGTAGGGTCGCACAACATTGTGGCGCAATCTTGTTTCCGTGGAACGCTAATCAAGTTAGGGTTTCAAACCGCGATTCGGTTTCAGTTTAGGATTTTAAGCAAAGGTCAGGATTTCAATGCACGCAGGGTTGGATGCCGGGGTTATGGTTTCTAGTAGGGATGTTCAATGCTAAAAATTTTTTCAGACCGATACCAGTACGAATATTTACTCTTTGAGTACTCATCGATAAGGAGTAGCAACAACTCCAGTGCTTTTGACAGATAAAATTTAATTTAACAACTAAATGACCTTTGTTTCTGACACAGATGATGAGTCGCTGATGTGTCTAACTGCCGCAGTATAATACCAATTGCTGCCGAGGAGGAATTTTGCCTCAAGTATTTGTGGCCTGTATTGTCAGCCTCCATAAGCACTGAATACTTAAAAAGTAAGACCAGTATCGGCCCAATACCGATACCTAATATCACCCGTCCCTAGTTTCAAATTGGGGTTGTAAGCAAAAAATTGGTTGTCAAGTTTGGGTAGTTTTCAAGCCAATGGTACAGTTTCAAATCAAGATTCAAAGATGTCAACAAACAATTTTAAGCCTGATCTAAGCTTTCAAACAAGGGTTTCAATATAGGAATGTGGTTTCAAGCTATGTATAATACTTCATAGTAAGGTTTTCAGCAAATGTGTGTTGGTTGGTTTTGCGATTAGGGCTTTAATCAAAGTTTATGCTTTGAAACCTGGGTTTGTGTTTCAAATTAGGGTTTGGGCCTGTGTTTCAAAGAAGGGTTTTAAATGAATCTTCCAGCCAGGGTTAGAGTTTTCCAGGGTTTTGGTTTCAAATCAGGGTTTGATGCAGAGGTTCAGGTTTGAAACCAGAGTTGACGTGTCCAGCAAGGGTTGCGATCAAGGTTAAGATTTAAAATTAAGTTCCAAGCCAGGGTGTGCGTTTCAAATCAAGATTCCACGGATGAATAGGATTTCAAACCTTAGCGTCTCAAGCCAGGGACTGGGTTTCAGATGAGCCTTTCAAACCCTTTGAAAGTAAGGTTGTCATCAAGCGCGTGTATGTAGTACTGCATGACTTGCTTTGTCATGCGTGTCCTCCATCCTGCCTCCAGTCATCCATCATCACCTCCCTCATGTCATCATCACCTCCACTCCGCACGGACGCGCCCTCGTCACTCCTCTCTAATTGGGATCACTGCAGGTCACTCAACACTCAGGTGTGTGCCGCCGCTCTTGTTTGTTCCCCTCTGTGTGTGTGCGTGAATGCGTGAGTGTATGTTTAATAGTCCAAAGTTGTACTTGGGCACTAAGGGAATGTAGCCACCTGCTGTAAGCACATGGAAAAAACAAAAGCTGCGGTGTGATTAAAAGAAGCTCCTGTAATGAGGCTGGGTGCATTCTGTGTATTGACTGTGCCCCCATCAGAAACATTGTGAGAATAGAAGGGGAGTGACTTTAGGAAATGGGGGTTAAAATGGCCGCCCGTGCTGCAATTTGGTGGACTGTCCCGACAAAGAAGTTAGCAGGTCATATGGGGCTATCAGCCGTCCTTGTAGAGGAAAAATCATGAGAGTTCATCGTTGTGCTGCTCACAGAAAACAAATTTACAGTTTGGAATTTGGTTGCCTAGCCAGTGTTTGTGTTAAATGAAGGTTTGATGTCAAGGCTACTATTTCAAATGATGGTTCCAAATAGGGGTTTGCGTTTGTTGGCCTGGAGTTTGAAGTTCTGGCTTCAAGGTTGGGTGTAGGGTTTGAAGTGCTTTCTTTAAAGCCCCGTTCACACGGCAACGTTTGGTCCGACGCAGCTCCGAAATAAATCCAGTCGAGCATTCACACGTGCACATTTGCTCCGGCGTAGCTCCACTAAAGAGCTTATACCGGACCAAATTTGATCCACCTCAGGGAGGTGGTTTAAAAATTTGCTCCAGAGCAAATGCTCGTTTGCGACGCTACGCCGAAACAAATGTGCACGTGTGAACGCAGCTGGATTAAATTTGCTCCAGAGCAAATGCTCGCTTGCGGGGGAGTGGCCTCGCTACGCTCGCTACCAGACGCACGGAATCCGACCCCGGTCGACAGTGACGAGGGGGCCAGCGACACAGACGAAGCCCGGTGCGCCCCCGGTAAAAGTGTCGGCGATTTAAGCGGTGAAGACAGCGCTCACGATCAAGATGAGAATCGAGAAAGCAGTGACGTCAGCCGAGCCCGATTTGCAGGCCCGAGCCCGAAGCAAACCCGACATTTCATATTTTATTTGTGAGTATTTTTGGGAGAAAAAAAACACAAGATTTCTTACGGTTAAAATAATCTACATATTTTTATGAACATTATCAATGCATTTGCACAACGAAATAACGCTGAAATACAGAATAAGAGGCCAGACAAAGAGAAATCTCAATGTGCATTTGCTTAATTACGCAGAGAAATCCTGCGGCTTACTAGGCTTTAAATAGAATAATTCAAATCAAATAAATAGGTAAAGATATCTGAAATTATTTCTACAGGATTGTTTAAACGAAATTAACATACATGCGCACTGGTCTGGCCGGCCGCGCTCCTGTTTAGCAGTTAAATAGCAATTAAATAACAGCGCATTCTCTGTTTTATCCAAATTGTTTGTTTTAAAACAAGTATTCCTTAGTTTAGTATCCGCACATTGTTTTAGTATACATCTTTTAAAACATATATTGTGGCAGTCATAAGGAGCACACACGATTGACTGTAAACACGTCTTTATTCCACGACTGCCAACAAGTGGATCTATTCTGAACATGGACAGAATAGTGTCCGCCATGATATTTATTAAAAGAAAAATAAATAAA